TTCCTGGAGCCCCTTAAATTAAAAAGCATATTTTCACTGGACAGTGCACTAAGTTCAACACATCATACATGGAGTCAGCATAATATACCACTAGACTAAGTTTAATAAGAAAAACCAAAGTCACCATAAATTGGAATAAAATTTACAGATAAACAAAAATGCACCATTAAGTAAACTCAAAGTTATTTGGTTTTGGGGTTGGGTGGTTGGTTTTTTCTCCTTAAATTAATAGCATCAGCTCCCTTGGAGCACTAAAATGAGCAGTTAAGCTTGCTACTTCTCATAACACAGTTTTAAGGCTGCAAAGCCTGGGTAGGAGAGGGCCCTCCGCTATAAATAGGAAGGCAGCAAATCCAGAGACAACTATGGCATCAACAGCTACATGGAAGCAGAAGACAGTAATGTAACTTGGTACGAGAGCACCACTATGAAGTCAGAACAGCATTACAAATTAGCATCCAAATGTAGATCTGAACTGTTGAGCCAAAGCAGCACCTCACACGAGCAGCACATCATGGCTGTAACATAACAGATGGCAATGCACTGCTTTTAGCGTACATTACTGGTGCCCCCCCTCCTTTTTTTTTTTTTTTTTTTAATTTAAAAAACCCCTCTCAGGCTTCAAACAAGTTCTTGTTGCAAACAAGCTGAACATAGTGTAAAAATAGTATGCTGCAGTGATTCATCTGTGTTATTCCACAGAGCTCAGCTCAATTACACAAGCGTCTGGTCATAACTGCAGTGAATGAATGCTTTGCTGCAGAGTAATCTGCCCTTCAAGTGGCCCTTCAGAGAGCAGAAATGAGCAGCAGTGATTAGCTGCTAAGTTCCTAAGTGGAGTAAGGCTGCTTTCAAATTGATTTGTGAAGACTTGCTAACTTGGCAGCAGTGCAACCCATTGAAGCTACAATTAGCAGCAGGTGCAGGAGGAAGTGATATGGCTTAAGTGTATCTGCTCACAGGGACAAAGTTTGGTGCTGGCAAGGCCAAGATGCACGTGCGCACACACACAGAGAACAACTTGTCTCAGTGTAGAAATACTGGCTTTCTCCGCATCTTCACAAAACTGGGTATTCTGAATAAAAGAACTTTGGATGCATGGCAGGTACACTACTAGCCTTTCTGATTTCCAACCAGTGATGGAAGAGTAAGAGCTTCTCAGTGTCACGGCACTACACCAAAACCGAGACTCTGTGTTACTCTGAATACATTGCTCATGAGTGCTCTGCCCACCCGAGCCATATTGCCATTAGCCTTTTAAAAATCTTTCAAAACACCAACCTTTAACACAGTAGTGGAACACTGGCTGTACATCACAGAACAGGGGAGTTCTTCTAAAGCACATTAGCTCCTAACCACATACAGTCCCAACTGTGTGAAGATCACTTTTTTGGAGCATTCACTCAGCTGAGTGCCACCACCATTTCAATTTGAGAGCCCTGCACACCCCTATGGAAACACAGATGCAAGGGCTGTATATCAGCACATCATCTCTGATGGTATGACTGCAATGAAAAGAAAGATGATGACTCCTTATGAAAAACAGATGAATAAGGTATCTAAGCAGGCAAACTGAGGTCTCTCAGAGAGGAACAAAAGAAAAGGAGGACGCAGTAATGGGACAACCCCAGCACTTCCACAATTATCTTGCAGGCAGCAAAAGGACCCCCTCTTGCAGAGATGTAAGCCCGGCCAGATTTGATGCCACTTGTTTGCAGTCAATTTTGTGTTAAGCTGGAATAGCTGAGTTGCTGTAATACTTTCCTTGAATAGTCCTACAAAGACCTGACCAACAGCCCTGCTCTCCAATCCTATCTTTTCTCTTATCCCCCACATTACTAGTGCCATACCCCCCTGCTAGCTCCAGTTCTCATTAAACCCTTCCAGGAGGCAGTAACTATCAAAATCAGCAGAAAATCATGGCAGCAAAACAAAGCTGGACAGACTTTTATCATGTTAGTAACATTCAGTTTACTGAAGAGTCTGATGAATTCAAACAGAATTTGAATTCTTACTCTTTAGAAACACTTCTGCTAGGTTATTCCAGAGCTTATCTGCATCTCCAACTATCCTGCCTAATTTATTCATGAATTAAAATTTATAAATTTGTTCTTTTGCTAAAACTGTCCTTTGAATACCTTTCTTGCGGCTCATCCCCTTTTAATGTTTTTTAGAGAGCAAAAAGGTCTTATCATTATTCTTCACTTTACTAGGCTAAAAAAAAAATTAAAGCTCGTTCATAGTTCTCTCTCGTATAACTGATTCTCCTTTTGTCTCATCCTTCTAATTACCATCTTTTGTACATGTTGTTGCTTGAGTTAATCTTTCCTCATCAGGGTGATCAAGTGTTATAATATTCTAGCCAAGATCTGAACAGTGCCTTAGTGCTGCTACTTCCCTATTCCTGCCAGGGATCACTCCTGTGTTATGCCCAAGGACCCCAGATGCACAGCAGTCATGTGCCCGGACAACACAGTCGGGTCTTTCATCCCGAGCTCTGTCTAAACTCAGCAAAAATTTGATTAGCTTTGAACTAACATCAGAAATAACAGTTCAAATACTTCATGCATACGGTGTCCCTTGATTTTCAAAAGCCATCTTTGAAGGTTAAAATATATTACTCCATTACCTCACTCACACTATTCTTCCTTAGCACACCATGGAACAGGTGGAGGTTTCCTAAGATTTTGTTAGCAGATCTGCATCTTTTCAAAGGCCTTTCCCCCTCCTTCCACGTCTAGCATACAAATGTTTGTATCCTCTCTTTTAATGAAGAATTTATTTGCCCTGAGTTTTCTCACTCATTTCTGAAAGGATTTTCAAACAGTGAACTATTACAAACTTGTTTTTTACCTATTGTTAAATTCATTCCTTTCTGATCCCCATATATAATGACTAAGTTATCAAATATACAAGAGAAGCAACTGATAAAACTGAAAAAGCAGAATTTACATCAGTTTTGAGAGAGAAAATAAGCTAGAACAAAAAAAAAACAAAAAAGTTTTACAAAGTTCTAATGAAGCATGCGTGTTTCCCTGAATTATGTAAATAACACTACATGTTGATGAAAAGATGTCATTTCTTGCATGAATTTACCATATGAGAAACACTGCTCACATTTTCACTTTAACAACTTAAACTTTCTGAAGTACTCTAGGTTTGGATTAGGTGACCTCCTGAGGGTCTTTCCAACCTGAATTACCATATGAACTTGTTTTTATTTTCCCTCATTTACATATTGTTAAATTCCATTCTTCCTACATTTTTACTTGCCATCCCATTTCCTGATCAACTATTCAGGAACGAATCCTATGAAGTCACAAGATTGCCAGCCTGGGAAAAGTTACAACTAATTCCACACCACCCACTAATTTCCACCACCACTTTTAATTACAATAAAAGCTGGCTTTGCCAGACTAATGACATCTTACTTCAAGAAATGGAAAAGTTTCTGAGCACTTTACTCTGAACAAATCTTTTCCTCTAACTTGCATGTTAGCCACCTTTCCCCTGTCCTGGTTTCGGCTGGGATAGAGTTAATTTTCTTCCTAGTAGCTGGCATAGTGCTGTGGTTTGGATTTAGTATGAGAATAATGCTGATAACACACTGATGGTTTAGTTGTTGCTAAGTACTGCTTATGCTAGTCAAGGGCTTTTCAGCTTCCCATGCTCTGCCAGGTGCACAAGAACCTGGGAGGGGGCACAGCCAGGACAGCTGATCCAAACTGACCAAAGGGCTATTCCATGCTGTATGACGCCATGCTCAGTATATAAGCTGTGGGGAGTTGGCTGGGGGGCAGGGATCACTGCTTGGGGACTGGATGGGTATCGGTTGGTGGGTGGTGAGCAGTTGCATCACTTGGTTTTTTTTTTCCCTGGATTTTGTTTCTCTCTCTCTCTCTCATCGTTCTCCGTTTCATTCCAATTTTTATTAGTTATTATTATTTTATTTCAGTTATTAAAGTGTTCTTATCTCAACCCATGAGTTTTCTTACTTTTGCCCTTCTGATGCTCTCCCCCATCCCACTGCGGGGGAGGGTGAGTGAGCAGCTGTGTGGTGCTTGGTTGCTGACAGGGGCTCTACCACGACACCCCACACACTAACTCCCCGTCTCCCCCTCCCTCCCATCAAAAGACAAATGCTCTATGCAAATGAACAAGAAAGCTTTCTCACACTAGCAAACTAATTCAGTTCAAATATGCAACACTATCAGCAATATCAGCTCTTTTCCTGCAGAGTTATGACAAGTATTATATTACTGTATGTGCAAATTTTCCATTATAGCAACATTTTGCTTTTCCAATGTTATTTTAAGGATTCGTTGAGCAAACAGAACACAGCAAAATAACACTGTAAGACTATTGCCCATAACTGTAAGCCCAGAACAGCTTAAGTTGCAAGACTGGATGACAGTCCTCACAACTTGCTACCTCCTGTATAAACGCACTATCACAATCCATGCTCCGAACAGCACGCATTCTAAAAAGATAAATCTGCAAAGGTGAGAAGAAGGATGAAACATGCCAAGAGATAAAAGTTCAGTATGACACCTGGTCAAACGCAAAGCCAGTCTAATCCCAGTGCACTGACCCATCTGCTGGACAACACAATCTTTCATTTTAAACCTTGACACCATGAGCTGGTACCCAGGCTTTAGGTATCAGAACTTTTACCTGTTCTGTATTCTCAAAAATAGCTCAGAAAGCAAGAAAAACAGTCTAACTTTCAACGCAGTTTCAAAGAAGCTAATGAGTATTTTCAAAAGCAGTATCTTTAAACTTCTGGTGGAACAATCATGTTGCAGATTTACTGTTCTTAAAGGAGTACAGCTATTTGGGAAGACACTGGGATGGCTTTTACAAGCAGGTACACTTACATGTGTCAGGAGTTATATATTTGCATTTCAGCATAACCTCCCCCACTGGATAGTGTGCAACAGACTTCCCACCTTTGAACCAGAACAAGAAAAAACGACCAAATAGGATGCTTGCAGACAAACCTTGGATTTGAACTTCATGATCTTATACTTTGGTGAAATGCAGTCATTAAATTCCTTGAAAACACTCATTATAGTTACTGGAGTCTCCGTCTCTTTGCCAGTGGACAGGTCGATTTCCTCAAAAACAGAAGTCAGGTTTTACAAATTAACAAAAAATGCCAGCAGACATGACGAATAAGTTGAATTTTGCTTTGCTGTTATGAATCATGTATCTCCTCTTTAATGGAAAACTACAAAGCAATCGGCCAATAAAACCCAAATTTAAAACATATTATTTGAAACACAGTGTTTAGAAAGCACTAAGTTTTCTAATAATACTTCAAGACAACTATTTCCTAAGCAGCCAGTCTAAAGGTAACAATTTGTCTGCAGCTGTTAGGGTCAGGAGAAAGCAGCAATGCTCTACTCTGGATCTCACATGTGATATACCATGTATACATTGCACTTAACCTTACCAGCTACATCAGACAACACTGGCTTCAACAGTTCCCATAAACACACTACTAGAAGTCATAATCTGCCACAAGCAGAATGAAAGGTACTTATGTTTGACATGCTTAAAAGATATACTTACCGTTTCACGTGGCAGTAGATAAACAGTTCTCTCAATATTTTTCACTGTCACACAACAACTGACATAGGTGTTTGCAGATTCAATCCAAACTTTGCCAAACAAAAATACCACACCTAAGGAAGAAGGGCAGAGCAAATAATTCAATATGCAATTCTTACATTAATCATTCTTAACGTTGCTTAAAGCAGCTTATTATGTATTCTTGTATAGAAACACTTCTGGTTTAGGTCCTTGAACAACAAATCTTTCTGATATATCAGCACATTCTAAATTGTTTTAAATGCCATCTTTACAAGTAGATACCTGTATAGTTCTTCATGCCCCTACCTCCATCACTATAGTAACACCTTGATATGTGAAATTCAAAATGGCACCACACAGCCAGTCTCAGAATTCTGCTCCAATATTCCACTTCTACCTACATGAGTTTGATAATTCATGGGGAGAGGGAGGAAGGAGAGAGCATTCAGTGAAAGCTGGAGATAATCAGAATGCCTGTGCTGACAATCACCCCTGAAATACGTGTTATCTACAATTTTTCATTCTTCAGCTAGACCAGTATAATTAACTCATTTTTCCTACACTTTAGTACCATGAAATCAAGACTCTACTACTAATAAAACCTGTAGAAATACATTCTGAAGACAACAACTGAAGCTGATCAACTGTAAAGAGTTTTCAACTGACTACTTTTAACAAATGAGGACACAAAGATGTACAACATCACAAGAAATCCTGGATGCTAAGACAGCAGTTGTAACAAAGGTAGACGTTCAGAAAGCCTATATAGAGCAGAACTAGCACAACTGACTTCACTGTGGACCACATCATTATTGTACATGCATATCTCTGAGCCACAGAGAAAGTGGCATTAGCACAAAATGCTGCAAACTGCTAATCAAGTGATGTTAAACTTTGAAATAACGTAGAACAAGGCTAGCTGACTTTCACATACAGTTTGTGAATTGCAAGTAAACTTCCAAGTACAGCTCAAAAACCTGGCTTCACCTGCGTTCCCTTCAAACTCCAAGTAACTTGGAATTTGCTTACATGAAAGACACTATTCCTATAGTACACGACTATTAATGAAAACAGAAATATCACAGCTGAGACTGTCTCAGAAACAGTGTTTCATATAAGGAAGATTTTGGAACCTGCGTTTCTCCTTGGTCTGACAATGCACAAACAAGTCCTTGGTTAAGAGTTGTAATTTATCTTTGCCACGAGATCTGTCAGATGTAAAGGTACCTTTCTTACTCCATTAGCTCAAAGATAAATCAGTGAAGATGCACTAAGACAGATGACAGAGTTAGAGTGACAGGCTAAGAAAAATCATTTCTTGAGTGCTTGGAATAGATGTGAACAAGACTACTTTTGTCAAGGACAGAGAATGTTGCAGTCTTGAAGATGATGAGAGCAAGGATACAAGCTTCAACTGCACAAAGTATCTTAGAGATTTTAATACAGAGGCAATCTTCAAGATTTAGACAGTTTGAATAAAAGGATCTAGAAAGAGCTCAAATTACAGATCTAAGTGACAGGGAAGATGAAGTTCTCCCCAGCAATCTTTTTTTTTTTTTTTCTTTTTTAAAGGGGTAAAATCTCAAAAAGGTTTGTACCATACAGAAAGATGAAACTATGGGAGAGACCACAAAACAACGAGTTGGTCGCCTGAACAGCTGGCAGTGTTAAGAGCATGGAGAAGTTAACCTGTCAGAGGTGTACATATAAGCAGGTGAGGTAGGTAGAAGGATACATGAGCCAAAGACAGGGTAAAAGGCTGCCTGGATTGCAAAGACAAACTTCAATCAACTCTAACATGGACAAATAAGTGGTCTTAATCCCCAGATTTCACAGAATCAGAGTAGTTTAGGATGGAAGGAACCTTTGGAGGTCACCTAGTCCAACATCCACCCCACCCCCCCACACACACACAATGAAAGCAGGGCTAACTTCAAAGAGTTTTCAGAGACATTTCATATGTAAAACCAAGAAATGAGAGAAGAGACATCAGGACCTATCCCCTGTAAGCCTGATTATGGAAAGAAGAAAGAAAGGAAACACAAGAGTAAAGCTTATAAAACACAACGTCTGTGAAAAGAAAGATCATGTTACCAATGAACCAAAGTCAAGAGACAGGGAAAATGTCTTGCAGAGGGGAAAGAAAGGGCAATTTTTATTCGTTATTTCTTTAAAATGTTAATAGGATTACAATTCTCAAGTTCTCTGCTTAAGATAGTAAAGGGAGTTAAGAAATGTAAGCCTCAAAAAATCATTAAGTTTGAAAGAGTCTTATGATTATGCTATAGTATTTACTCTTCAGGCAATGCATTTGACATCACAGCAAATGAGGCATAAACAAAGATCACGAACATGTTAAACAAAAAGCAGTATCAAAATTTTCCCTGCTACACTACTAATTGAAAACAGGTGCAGTCTTTATTATTCAGTCCTGAAAAAGTCATAATGAGAAAAGAACACTCCTTGCATGCGAGGAACAGAAATCCTTTCATAATTATGCTCCATTCAGCAACCACTGACTTAGAAGACAAAAAAAAGAACAAGAACAATAGCAGGGTCTTTAAAAGTAGCAATTTTATATTAGAGCCATTGATTTCATCAAGATAGCTATGATTATTACCACTCCCATCACCAAGCTGTTTAGCCCAGCACAGTCTCATATTTAAGTTTGGCATCCCAACTCACAACAAAAGGTGTAACAGAGAAATGTATCTGACTCAAAGCTTACAGCATCAACCCAAAAAACCTTCAACAACATATGGAAGAACCGTCTGGTAAACCTACATGAAGCATGAATTAGAAACCCAAGATCCTAAAGCTGCTAATGAAATGAGGGGAAGTGCTTAGAACAGATGTGAACACGACATCTTTTGTCAAGGCTGAGATCAGAATGCCGCAGTTTTGAAGACGATGAGAGTCAGGATTCACACTTCAACTGCACTAAGTATCTGATGGATGTTAATCCAGAGATAATCTTCAAGATTTAGACAGCTTGAATAAAGAGATCTAGACAGAACATATATTTTTTCAGGCCACCTTCCTCCCTTGATAGGCATACCTCTCCTTCATATAAAATCATGCAACTGCTATCGTACAGGCTTTCTAATAATCCACCAGAATTTTAAGTTACATTTCCAGAAACAAGAAGAAAGCATGCTCAATTGTTGCACCACCTAGTACGAAATTAACACTATCAGCTTATTCCTGGAGCACACAGGGTTTTAAGAAGGCCGATGGGTCACTAACATTGAAAAGTGCTAGTAGCTCCCTTTGTACCTCCCTACTACTACACTAGACCAAGAGACAACATTCTTGCTTTGCCCAATCATAGTGCCCTGCACTGAGGACAGAGGTGCGGAAAAACAAGCGATCAACGTACAAGTAATAGAGCACAGAGAGACAGGGTATCTCGACACAATTTAGGCAAGTCTGAAAATCCCAGTTACGTAAAAAGAATCAGAATAGCATTTTCTGCCTTTAACTCAAGTTACCTGGCTGACTGTACTGATCTTCATACGCATCCAGCCAATAAAATCTTAAGACTTGATCATCATTTTCCCCCTTCACCAGTGGAAGGAGATCGGGGTCCAGCTGAACTTCTGCCACTACTACATCAGCTTCATCCTCATCAACTCTGTCCCAACACGAGGTATCTGGGAGAGAACAACTTCTGCAGGTTTTACAGAAGAAGAAAGAAACAAGAAGTAAAATTGTGCCTTTGCTATAATCACCATGGTTTCACCTTTTTTTCAGCCCTGTATTCGCAGGCCTTTTGTTGCTCTTTCCACTACTGAACAACACTCCCAACAGCTGGGTTTCCTCAGCTTTCTTCTGAAAAGAAGGATGGAGTGACAAAGAGAGAAACCCACGTACAAGTATGGTTCTCAGTACACAACACACAGACTTTGAAAGTCATTCACCTGGTATTTCAGCCTTGGTCATTCACACCTTTACATAACAAATACATCCATCTATCTATACAAGTTGCTCAAGTGGGAACAACAGATTCTTTCAACAAAACTACCTTTTCAGTCATTAAAAGTTGAAGTCTTTTTGATCATTCAAATATTTTACAGTTTGAAGTTATGGAAACATATGATTCAAGATTCTTCCAAACTGTATTAAAAACAAAAAAGGGGGGTGGGAGGAACCCCCCCTTTTTTCCTATTTCCAAAGACACAGCTGTTCACCATGTGAAATTACTTTCTGCAACAATATTTTTAACTACAACTAACGTTATGAAATACTTTCATAGCTGCCTAGAATAAGGATTGTTAGCAATTCCTCCTTTTGCTTCCTGGTATCAAAATTCATTGTTCAACACCCACACTGAGTCACCTCAACATACTGAAATACATGTTATGTTGTCACATGCTAAATCCCAAAAACATCAAATATTTTTCAATTAAGTAGCTATCAGCATGTTCAACATTACCATTTTTAACATCACTACAAAAAACCCCACCACGTAGCATTATCATTCTGTCTGTATCACAATTATCCCATTGGCAAAGACAAATATGAAGATAAATCTGAGGCTTATTGGTTGAAAAAAAAAAAAAAAAAAAAGATATTCTTACAAGACAGATGTCTCTTTCTTCTCTGATTCCAGCTGCTCTGTCTCTTTCTTTTCAATTTCCTTGTCTCTCTTCAAGCTTTCAGCTGTCTCAGGTATAGTTTCCACATGCTCTGCTTCCATAGGTTCATCAAAGTCCTCCTCATCAAAATCCATCATTCCCTGATCATCATCTGGAAGTGTTGCACATAGAGCTAAAGGCTTGAGTCATTAAAATGACATGCTGTATATATACTACAGCAATATGCATAGAGAGCATACTATATGCATGAATGCAATATACAGTATTAATATACAAACAAAATACCACATGTAAGCTATCAAGCATCTAACTAGTATAAACTAAGAAGTGTTTTAACATTAATAACAGTTTCCAGAACTGGGTTTTGATTTCTTTTAGATACCTTCAATAGCTTTCTCTTCTATTGTCTTCACTATTCCCCCATTTTCTGCAGCTTTTTGCACATACTTGGTATCCTCATTTTCAGAGGCTATGACAGATTTTGCTGTGTAATTGGGATGTTTAGGACGAAATGAAGCTGGAGGAAGAGCTTCCTTCCTGAGATGAGCAGGAGCTTTCTTTGATATAGGGGTGATTACCTGAAAGACATTTTAGCCATGAGTTAAAAAAAATTCTCTTAAGAGCAAAAAAGGAAAAAAAAAAAATCTAGCACTCGCTATTTGCAGAACTAGTAACCAGGGCTACAGGAAAAGCTCCATGTATTTTGCAGCATGATAGCTAAAACTCCTCAAAAGTAAACTTTACTTTCTATAGTATCATTTCTGCTGTGATGTGTTTCTACTATAATTTTACAAAGCAGTTTACAACAGGCCATGGTTGATATTTAATTAAGTTTGTGGCTACTTTCACTATTTTTCCCCCGTAGCACTACTCCATCCCTAAATTAAAATGTCTGTGTCAGCTGAGTATGTGACAATATACATCAGGCAGGGACCGAGCCTGGAACAACTGGGGAAGGCCAATATGGCAGTTTATGCCTGTTCATACCAGCAATGAGTTCAAGATGTCTACAGGACACCATGGGTCTAGAGAACAGAGTGCTTCTCCACTGGATTTCTTCATGCTACAGACGTGACAGGGAAAGCAAGGAAAACAAAGAAACTGTATTTCAGCATGTTCTGCAAGCCTAAACTCTGAGGCAGTAAGCACATAGTTTGTTTTTCAGACAGGATACCACTACAGCAGCAGCTACAGAACCTCTTCTTACGGAAGGTGTGTATGAAGTGGCCTCCGCCATGACCAACAACAGGTCTCTGCATCTACTGGCCCTTAACCTGTGGCAAGGTCCAAAACCTTTTTCTTCAGGGAAAGCTGTTATTTACATAGAATTTAGAGTTGCACACAATCATTTCTAGGGTTTTAATCTCAGTACAGCTACTTCTATTGAGGCCAACACCAAACTCGGCCCTTCACTCACCTTAAACAGAAAGCAAACATATTTAATCTACCTTCACCAACAATTTTTTACTAGCTCAGCCAAATGAATTTGTTCATACTTATATTTCTGCTCATCTCCTGAAGTAGAAAGCATCACTGCCATCTTGCTTCTTATGCCCATTTATTTTCTAAGGCTGCAATCTTCATCTTCTTCATCTGCTTCATTGTCTAAAACCTCCAGTTCCTCCTCCTAGAGCCACAGAAGCTATCATCTGAACAGCCTGTCTGGGAATTAATTTCCTTCTCAATGTTTCCTACTAGAAGTGACCACTGTTCCACACCGTAAAGACAAAAGATCCTCTCTTACTATATCTCTCCCTTTTTTCAATTACTTCTAGGCTCCAACACAACCGTTGAAATGAGTGCCACTGGTGATTATTTTCAACATTAAGAGTTGATGTTGCTATTACGCACGGTTTCACAAATCAGATTTATCTACCCTACTCCATTTGCCCTCTAGAGACTCTTACCAAATATCTCATTGTATTTCCAGCTATAAAGTCCTTCTCGTTTACCAGAACTCTTAACAAAATGCTAGCCTTCCATCCTCTCACTCCAAAGTCTCCCCCTAGGGTAAACTTCTATCCATAGCTTCAATTTTCCATTTGCTTTCCATTTCTGCAGAAGATTAGTTTCTTATCCTTTTTCACACCGACAAATACTCTTTCTTCCGCTTATTGCACTTCCTATCATCCTTTCCTTGCCACAGGGGTCTTTTCTACTCTTAGGAAAAAAGAGACAAAGTAGAAGCTCACCTTCTTGTGATGCACCTAACATTATAAAAACAGTTTCATCTGTCAAATGTAACAGCTATATACTATTACAATACTGAAGATACAGAAAGAGTTGTATTCTCTTTATGTATTAGCATGGAAGGGGAAGACGAAAAATGCATGAAGTTACACAGTAACATTGCTAAGGAAGCTAATGAGGAAGGTAATTTCTAGAAGCAGAAATAAAAGACAACAGTATTCAAATCAACCAAAATACAAATTAATACTTATTAATGAGAACTTTTTTGATTTTTTCCTTTACCTTAGGAGTTTGGGACTGCACAGAGAAAGGATTCAGTGGTACTCCAGCAGACCTTTTCCTTTTCAGCATTATAATTGGTGGCGGACTTATCTGAACAGTCTGAGTATTGAAAGAAAAGAGAAAGTGACAAAATGAAGAGGTGTTGTTTAGTGTTTTGCCTTGGTTAGTAATGTTTTCCATCAAAGAGAAAGAAGGCCACTGGTATTTCTCATCTGCCAAGAAAACACACCTTCTGGTATACAACTCAACCTCGCAAAAAGAAAAAGCTATCTAAGCAATCAGCCCATGAAGACAGACACTCAATTTTTTTGCTAAACAGGTCAAGAGAAACACTGTCATCAATCAGTGAAACAGTTTTCAAACAGTGGGCATTTCAATAGCTGACTGTGCCTTTAATGTGCAAGTATCAGAATAACTGGTGGGATGCTCTTCATGTCTGCTGAAACAGTAGTACTGAGCACACATGCCTTAAGAAAGGCAGAAGTGCCCCTTCAGCACGGTCACGCTAGAGGAAAACCCATTTTAATTTATTTACATGTACAGGTATTTTATACTCACACTTATCAACAGCTAATAACAGAAGAAATTTTAGAGAGCAAACAACAAAGCCAAAAAACCAACAGCTAACTACTATTCAAGTACATAGAAGCCATAGTGTAATTATTAGCATTATTTCCCCTAATCAATGCTCCACAAAATTCAACAGCATTAAAACGTATCTGCTTAATGATCTGAGGGTTTCTGATAGCTTAAGATATTATAACTTTCAATCAGATGTCATAGGGAGGAGTAAAATACTAAGCACACAAAACCAAGAGAACAACTTTACACTGGAACATCTATATCCCTCTTACTGCCCTGTAAAAACCCATTATGCTTATTATGATACAACATATTTCAATTCAGTATCTCACCACTACAGCAGTTTCTTGGTTTACATGTGAGCAATCCCTTCAGTTTTAAGAAATCCTGCTAAGAGGCATTAACTCATTGAAAAAGTCATTAACGATGAGGAACAGCCTCATTTCAGACAGTCCAACCCTGCTACAGCAGCCATCTTGCACTCCTAACTCAGAGGAAGCGTTAATCTAGCTCTGTGTAGCAAACTGCGGAAAGCAGAAGCAGGCAGACAGAAGTTCAGGCTACGTCATCTGCTGAAACAGTCCTCCCTTGGCTCCTCTCATGAACCAAACGCGCCAGATGGAAATATCCTACAGTTTACTGGCTGGAGCGTGGTGATACACATATATGGTATACACAATTGAGATGCAGGTAAGTCCTGTTTCACTCCAAGCTGACTAAAACATAGAAGGCTGCATTAGCACACGCTCTACACCACATTAATATAAACCATCTCTAATCAGGACGTAGTAGTTTTGGCTTATCAAATCAATACAGTCATGCAACTTCTGCATGGTGGAGATGACAGGCTGACTGCATACACATGTCGAATACACCAAGCAGACGTACTATGGAAGAAATCCATCTTAGGTGGTCTAGTTTTAGGACGAACTTTATTTCTTTGATATGTTCCACAGCACGAAAAAATGGATTAAGGTGTTTCAGGCAGATTTTATTAATATACTTACTTCAGCATTAAGATCTTGAAGAATATCCCCTAGTAAATCATCCTTTGACAGGTCCACAGTTTTCTGTAAGATAACAGATTAGCCAAACAGTTCTTAGTTATATGTGCAAACCCAATCAGGAGACCAGCAGCAAATGACTAAAGGGTTTCTGCAAAGCACACACGATGCTTTCAGGAATGCTCCATACACAAGAGATTGTAATAGGACTTTATGTCTTGCAAGAAACTGAAATGAGCCCTTGCTTTATTCCACTCCCACTAAAACACTGCAAACAAGTTAGAAATCTTTAAATTCAAAAATGTAAAAACTTACATCTGTGTTCGTCTTCCCAGCACTGGCTATAAACATAGACTTAATTGTGTTTGGCTTTGACACCACAGATTTTTTCACGTTCTTTTTATCAAGCGTAGATGTTTTGCCGCCTTTTCCTACAGAAGAATATAAAACTGTGAATGCTACATCAGAAAAGCTCAATGTTTAAGGGTCCAGTTATTAGCAGGAACAGATAGATAGCTGAGGCAGTCTACTTGTCTACCTTTACGCTGCTGGCTGAAACGAAGCCTAGTCATCTTTCATTTGCTGCCAGCTTTTCAATGGCTGTCATGCACGCACACAAAAAAGCACAACCCTATCAGCACCCTATCTTTCCTAGTCACATCAGAGATGATCTTTGCATACTCAAGTTCATACTCCAGAAAAAGGACCAAGGTAGTTTACATGGAAGCATCCTGAGAAAAAACACAAGCATCCAGGAGTTTGGCACTAGGCTTGGATTCTCAACATCAGACTCAATTTTTCAGTTTGCCACCAACTTCATCTAAGTTGGCAAAATCATTTGATCCCAGATCCTTAAAAGCATGCAAGTATTTTAGTGGTGAAAGAGACCGCACATCCCTTAGATAGGATGCTCTGGAAACCAAGATCATTCCTAGATGTATTTGTTCTAGAAGTGGATATATATACCACAGAAGACTGTAAGCAAAATTGCCCCAGTAGTGCTGAAGTAGTTAGCAGAGATTTGACCTCAATGTGCGGACCTCTACCTTCGGTATCACGGGGGCTAAACAAAATCCACAGGCACAGAACTACAGAGCTTCAAGTAACATGTCACACGGTCATATTCACCACATACTGATGCCAAGAAGGTACCTTTTAAAAGCCACTGGAAGGCATTTGACAGTAGTCATGTTCAACCTACCTTTCTTACTGGAACCAAGAGCATCATCATCCAGATCTTCATCAAAGATTTCCCTTCCATCTTCTACATAACCTATCCCATCTATAGAAAAACAAATTGTTAAAATTTACATTTTAAATTCTGTCCTCTGATATTTCTAAATATATTCATTATCACAAGTTTTACATATTTAAACGCTTTTCTCCCCCCTTTAATACAGAGCAAAAGTTATAAATGAAAAAGTATTAAAAACTACAGGACTCTCAGATGTAGCTTCTGTTAGACTAAATATATTATTACATGTTTAGAAATTATCAATTACAGTACTTCTTTTTAAAGTTACATCACTGATAGCAGGAAATAAAATTTCAAAACTAGTTCTTAATGGAAAAATATTATCATTACCATCCTAATATGCTACTATGAGAACAATGCAAAAGATTCGTTTCCATATAAAAGCTTATCTTTTTCTTGTCTCCTAAAACAATTTGTAAGAATGTACTAACTGTAACTTACCTCAAATCATGAACGTTATGAAGCGTAATTGAGTTATAACACTATATAATCAAAATAGCTCTCCAAATGAATCTTAACTTACCATCATCAACAATCCAGTCATCATCCTGACGTTCTCTGACCATCTTGGAGTATTCCTCCTCATCTATTTCATCGTAAACACCTGTGAACTCCTCAACCTACAGTTAAGGTATACTGAGGATTAACAGTTCCCATACCATTACTTGTTAGTATAGGTCATCAGTAAGAACATAAAAGTTCCCAAAAAATGCATGATTTCCTACACTGTTACACCGTTCACAACTTGTAAGCACCATTATTCATTCAGTTTAAGCTTTGGTTTTGCCAGTGACAAAAGACAAGTTATCAATTTTTAAAATTATCACAGCATACTGAAACTCAAAATCTACTGAAGCACTAGCAGAGATTTCGTTTGAAACTGACTTGCTTAAAAAAAAAAAAAAAAACCCACAAAAAACCCCACAAACTAAAAAATCCTAGCATTGGAGACTTCTGACCTTTAGCTCTAGTCTCAAACACCAAGATGAGCTCAATGAAAAAGAAGGTGATTTGATGCACCCAAGCGTAATGCTAAATTCTATCGTGCCTCAGAGTAAATTTGCATGTTAATGATCTACGCACTTCAGGCTTCTTCAGATTTATCCACCTCAACGCGGAAGCCACTTCCTATTGGCATTACAATTAATTGCACAGTATCAATGTTACACTGCCAGATTTCAGTTCCACCAGTTAAATACTTAAATTTTGGTTTCTTTGTGTAAACATAGCATATCAATATGAATGGACTGCCGTCATGTAAAGCTTTGAAATTCATGTAAAGTTTAAAATCATCTGAAGTTAAAAAAAAAAAGTACTTCCTATCATAACATTAATGACACAATTAAATTTTAAAAGTTGGTCCTTCCCTGTGAGATAGTTATCAAGCATGTTTGACTTGCAGTTAATAAAACTGTTTTAGTTTTGAAAACAGAAAGACACAAATTAATGATACCAGAAAGCATACCAGAAAGCAGCAAAACAATTACAGTTACATTCTGAAATACATACACTGTTAAAAAACAAAAGCTTATCTGAAAGGCAGATTTTGTTTCCTATGACTTTTAGATACATATGAAGGGTAGGTAGGCACCTCAGCTCACAACCACTTTTTATTAAAAAGAAAAGATGAGGAATTTTCACCTGATATTTTATTTTTTCGCCAGCCTTGGCTTTTTTCAGACGTTCCAGTGCTTCTTGCTGGCCTCTTCTAGACTTCTTCTCACGTCTAGAACGTGATGCTGCAAAACTTCCAGACTCATGCATAGCTGCAATTAATTAAAAGCAAGTGAAATAAAGTTTAGCAGTGAGCCGCTGTTATCTTTGGTACTTAGTGTTCAATGATGTATTATTAATAGATGGTGGCAGTTTTGCTTCAAATGAACATAGAGAGCTACCTGGCTAAAAGCACACAGATGGCTCTTGGTAAGCCAAATCTGGAATTATACCGAAGGCATGGTCTCAGACAGACACAGAGGTCAGACAGCCTTCGTGCCAGTTCACATTCGGCAAGAAGCTACCACCTAGATTTCCAAAGCACCTCTCACCAACCCTTATCTGAAAAGTATCCTCCCATTCTTTCCTTGGGAATTTCCAGCTCCTTTTATTTTGCATGTCTCCATGACAACTCAGGAACAGACAAGACTTAGGAAAGGCCTATATTGCTACAAAGCAGTAACGGGTTTTTTTAGGCGGCTTCACAATGTTGACGAGCGCAGCTAGATTGAGGCAAGCCAGTAATCTGCTGACAGCAGAGGGCTGCCGCCCCATTCCCTCACAGACTTTCTTCCCTTTGCAACACTCCCCCCGGCAAGGTGCTCCCCACTTCTCTCAGCCTTTTTCTCTCTTGATTTTGGGCGAGCGGGGACATTTACCTGACCACAGAGAATGAACGGTCCCAATCCAACTTAGGAAAGCAGACAACTAGCCCAGGAACAAGACTGCAGGTTTTGTGGGACAAGCTGAAGCGCCCGGCTGCAGGCCGAGGAGACCCAGGGCTAGCGAGAGCGGCCAGGCCAGGCGGCCAGAGGAGAAGGCCAGTCCCCTCCCGGCGACAGCAGGAGGCCAAACTCTTAGCAGAGCCGCACCTCGGCAGCGTGAAGCAAATAAGCACGGATTTGTACCGTTAAGGGCTGGGATGCACCGAAAAGGGGCATTTACACCGACTGCTACCAGAGGTGGAAGAACCGCCA